GGCGAGACCTCATCTCTACAATAAATCAAAAATTAGCCGGGCATGGTAGCATGCGCCTGTACTTCCAGCTACTTGGAAGGCTGAGGCGGAAGGATCACCGGAGCCCAGCAGGTCAACGCTGGGGTGGTTGTGAGTGTGCCACGGCACTCCAACCTGGGTGACAGAGTGAGACTCCAACTCAAAAAAAAAAAAAAGAGAGATCCCAGAACAAAATGTGAGCTTCAAATACACGCCTCGTCTCTCCTTCAGGTCCTTATGTAAACCAGCCTTACATTATGATGAGTCCGAGTGCCTGCTGAGATGGTGGGCTGAAAGGGTAGTCAATATGGGCTGGCAGTGGGGTAATATGCAGTGAGGGAGAAGGGTAGAATACTGGAAATTACAGAATTAAGTGATACTGCTGAATTTTGAGGTAATTATGTCTTAAATTTATCATTTCAGTTGACAATATCAGAACTAGACTGACTATATATCAGAATCACCCCTGGAACTTAGGAATCTTGTTTTAAGTAAGTTTAGGTTCCTTAGGTTTAGGAATCTTATTTTAAATGAGTGTATGGATTCTGATTCTCATTCAGGTTTGAACAGTCTGTGTTAAAGGGACAGCAGGACCAGAAAACAGAGAAGATCAGAAGTAATGATCCCAACCCTACAGGTATCCCATATCAGATACCGGATCAGAAACTGACACTTATTCAAAGTATTTCCTTCTTGGTATTATACTAAAGTTATAAATCGGCAGATAGCAATACTTGATACTTTGCCATTATTTAAGGATAATGAGAAATGGTGCTTGCTCTGTCTCATTGGAATTCACTGGTAAGATTAAAAAAGTATGAAAGAGAAAGGTCTCTTTAGATTAGACAAAGAAGTAAAAGGTAGCAACCAATAAGTTATCAAAAGTAAACTCAGCAAGAGAAGTTAAGTGATACACTATATTCAACCGCTTGATGAACCCTGGCTCCTGGCAGACAGCTTACACCTTCTGGGGTACAGGCGCCCATTCCCAGACGAAAAGAGTAAAAAGTAAGGCAAAAGGTGGTTCCTTCCTGTTTCAAATAAGTTGGGATACAGAGGGAGGCTGCCTGTAATCTTAAATTAAGATTGTTTTCTAAATTTAAAGCTTTTTGCAGTTTGGGACAGACACGGACTTGGGCTGCACCATGCTTGTGCCAATGTCAAGTGTTGGGAATAGCACCACAGACCCTTCCTGATGTCTGAGTCTTGGCATCAGGTTTTGTCTTGTCCATCATCACCTAAAATGTGAGAAAAGGTAATCACGAATGCCATTCTTGGGAAGAAATAGCAGCTGTGAAAAGTGAAGGGAAGCATCGGAGATAAAAAGCCTGGGGAAAAGGATGGTAACAGAAGTGAGGTAGAAAGCTAGTTCTTAGCTCCCCCGAAGACCAGCTGGAAAGACGACTTCAGATCAGAGACTCCCTGTGTAGCAGATCTATCACTCCTCAAAACGGGAAGATGTCCTAGGAAGTGTTCTCGTGTTTTCCTCCCCTGCTCATTTTAGCCCAAACTCTAACAATGTTGGAAATATTTGGGAATTTCTTTTATCTTTTTTTCTTTTTACCTAGAGGTTACAGGAAGGAATGAATGGAGATAGGAGACAAGACAAAAAAGATTAGAGAAAGTTCCTCATCACACATGGGTAGAATTCACTCCACAAACCAAAGAACTTTCTAAAATTACAAGGGAGGGACAGCAAGGGCACTAGATCTTTGAGGTGTTGGGAGACAGGCTGACAGAGCAAGCTTGGTGACCAGCTTAATGAGTCTCCTATCACTTGAAATTCTGCAGAGGAGGAGTTCAGAAAAGAAGTCGGTGTCACAAGTGAAGATATTTGAAAGGGAAGTTGGGCCTCTCTTTCCATTTTCTTACATTATTAATTTCTTTACCAGAAAATATAGTTGGATCAGACCGTGGTACGTTTCACCAAATGGACTCCATAATGTAGTTCACCTGTTCTCCGCATGAGCTCCCGATTTCCCTGACAACAGAGGCTCCTAAACTCTCATTCTCACTAACAGGCCTAAATCTACAAATAAACTTAGCCTTCAGGTCTCCAGTTCAGGGTTATGGAAGAAACTAGTTTTCCATAACCGATGCTTTTATACATCTCAAGTCCTTCTCAGAGTTATAGATTCAGTTTTCACATTTCCAGGCAAGAAAATCTGCTCCATGGCAGTCTTCAGACGTTACCTGACATATTAAACACCCTCAGCCCAGGCTCCTCAGTTTCCAAAATCTCCATTAACACCCCAGCAAACAAAATAGATCCACTTATCACAGTTCAATCCTACTTGAGCATCAACAGCCACTACCTTGATATACTGTGTTCCCAAAGCTGACTGAGTGTCCAACAGCAGCAAAGGTCCTCATTAGGATAGACACGTTGGCACCAACAAGACTGAGGTCTGGTTTTTAACTGCATTTTTTGTCAGTTTGGCTGGGAAGATCTGGACAGCTGGAAGTGAGCTTCTCCATCATTTTCTGTTTCTTTCTTTGTATCAATTTTCCACCTGTGAAGCCCAACACCCCACCACCAAGTGCAGCTGCAATTCCTGCCACTTTGAAGCCTGCAAGGAGGCCAATAGGACCCCCCACCACGCCTCCGATGAGTGCACCTGCCACAGGCAGAGCTGCCAGCTTGTATTTTGCAGCCTGTAAAAAAAAAATTCAATTTAGAAATTGAGTTGAGAATATCTGCCTGTGGTGATGTGCATTTTCCTCTCATTACTCCTGGCAATGCCTCTTTAACTCTTGGTACATAATTAACCTTAGAGATTGTACTTGTGGGGGGAAAAGAAAGTATTCCACAGGTACTGTGATTGCTCCGGATCTCAGAACTTAGAGAAATCAGCTACAAAGAGCGAACTGCTACAAATTGATTTTACTTGCAAAACAATCAATTCACTAACTATCTAGCTGGCTTATTTAAACAGTTTCAGCAGCCACAGATTCCCCCCAAAGCTTTTATGTTGCACAGAGATTATTCTGTGCTTTGTGCCTGGGGTTAAAAGCAACATCCTATGGAAGATAGATGGTCCCACTCCATGCATGCTGTCATATACTTACTCTTTTGCCCCTCTGCAAATATCCCCTTGTAACACCAAATGCCTTATAGTGGGACTAAGTTTATTCTATCTTTGAAGACATTTCTCTCCTGATAGAAAGAATCTTGAGTAGAATATTACAACCATTGATTTCTTGTACTACCTATGTGTCATTTCTTCCTTATTTCCTTAATTGCTGGTTCCCTCAACATTGAAGAGAACAGATCAATTGGGTTAATACTAGGGATTCCTGGGAGCCAGAGTACCATTGATTTGTCAGCAGGAGCAGAATCTTACCTTCCCCAAGTTTTTGGTTCCCTCTTCAACATTCACAGCGGCACTGTTGACATGGTCTGCAATGCTGTCAATCTTCTCCTGCTGAGACTAGATGCAAAGGAATTATGAGTGAGCTTTCCTGCTGGGTAGCGGCGGGGAGCCAACACACACCATTTTAATTCCTGTAATCAGGGCCCCGGGTACTGCAGACTTGCCATCTTAATAGTGGTTCATTAATAGCATCTGATAAACCATGTCGAAAGGACAAATTCACTTTTGAGAAAAAAAGAGGGGGACTTAATTATTAGGTAATAAAAGGGTGGCAACTTTACAGCAAAAAGCATCTCACACTAAAATTTATTCAAACATACAAACATATTATTCTCCACATGAAGCGACTTTCCAGGAGAAAAAAATCCAAATAAGCAGTTGCACGTCATGTTGAGTTTGATGGACAAAAACAAAATCAACAACAACAACAAAAACCTCTCTAACTTATCTTCTTTGAAGATTCAAAACAGGCAAATTTTCCTTAGGAGTAAAATGCCCCTGATCGAATACATACAAAATCTTATGTTTTAGGATATAATTGGATACAATATGGTTTATCTACCATTAAATCTTCCTGCTTGTAGTATGCAGCAGGGAGCAGTGAATAAATTTACCGTCCTGTCTTACACCTGTATATCTTAATAGATTTTTTAAGTCATGGCACGTTAAAATGTTTCAGATCAAATATATTACTAAAGCATTCTACATAAAGTGGCAACACCTGTGCTGACTCAGGAACTCTCTGAGTAGAAGGAATGTGGAGGTCATCGGGTGCAGTTCCCTGCGATACGTGAAGCCCCGCTCTAATACTCTGGCAAGTGGTTGCTGAACCTTTGCTCGAAAACCTTCAGTGACGAGAACTCACTACATGGCTCGGGAACACAGCGCCATTTTTAGATCAACTTTATTTAGGCAGAATTTAAATATAATAATATGTACTCATTTGAATGATATAGTATGATTGGTTTTGTTTTTTCAATTTGTAGAAAAAAAGAGGAGACTCTCTCTTTGATAAGGTAAACATAACCTACAATGAATATGAAATAACTATAATTCTGAAGTATTTGACTGCCCTCACATCACTGGCCTATTCATTGATATTGAGGTGGACGTAAATAACCTCTTTTTAATTCCAATAATCATTTCAGTTGGGAACACGAAGCCAAAACAACACAGCTCATTTTCTCCCACAGTTGTTTCTTATTAGCATTGTTGACATTCTTCTCCTGCTTATTCCACTATTCTTCACTGCGACCTTGACATCTCTAACACAATCCCTAAAGCGACCCTTATCAGTTTTCCTTTGAATGTCTCCATCAGACAGGAACAACAATGACTCTCAAACTTCAAAGTGCAATAGAAACACCTCGAGAGCTTCTTAAAACACAGACAGATTTCAGGGCCCCAGTCCTAGAATGTTGGATTCAGTAGGCCTAAGGTAAGGCCTGAGAGTTTGTGTTTCTAAGAAATTCCCAGGCGGTGCTGATGCTGCCAGTTCATAATTCTCACACTTTTAAGATCCACCATTATACATGCTAAGGTTAAGAACACCTTTAATAAGCCATTCTGTGTTCAAATCCCAGCACCGCCACTATGTACCCTTAGACAGATTACTCAAGCTCTGCTGTCAGTATTCTCATCTACCAAGTGAGAGTAATACTTGTACCTTCATAGAGTTGAAGTGGGGAGAAATGAGATGTCTGCAAAGGATGAGGGGAAAAATAGAAAAACTCATGCTGGAAAACTTTCCCAAGAAAGGGTTAACTCTCATCTTCCTCTCAAAAAATATATTAAACTTTTCCTATAATGCTTGAAAATTCTAGGGCCCTAAAACAATAATTATGCCTAGCATTCACTCAAGTTTTATTTTCCTCAGGCAATAAAACTTCTTTACATCAGTTTTCTTTTTCTGACCTATAGAAGCGAAAGTGCCAGCACTAATAATATGCAACTTGTCTGGATTTCTGACACCCTATCATTGTTTCTATTTGGGACACCCCCAACACTTTCCGCTCTGCCTGCAACAGTCTATGATGGCAGATAAATCACAGGCTCAAAATTCTGTTATCAACCGTCATAACCTGATGGGTTGAGGGGTGGTGGAAAAAGAGCCAATACAGTTGGGCTTGATGGCTCAGCCTGTAATCCCGCGCCTTGGGAGGCTGAGGTGAGTGGAATGCCGGAGCCCAGCAGGTCGAGGCTGCGGTGGCCGGGAGCGGGCACTGCACTCCAGTTTGGGTGACAGAGTGAGACTCCAACTCAAAAAAACTAAAAAATAAATTTAAAAAAAAAAAGAGCCAATATGTCTCCCTTCCTTCAGTCCCATAGTAATTCCAACAAGAGTGGGGAATCTGCCATTTCCATAACCCATGTGTGATCTCAAGGCATCAGGGAAATATTTTTTTAATGTTCCTTCCTTTAAACATCGGATATTGTAGATCTGTGACATTTTTGCTTTTATTGAGTCAGGGTCTCGCTCACCCAGGCTGCAGTGCAGTGGCACAATCATGGCTCACTGCAGCCCTGACTTTCCAGGCTCAGGTGATCCTCCCTCCTCAGCCTCCTGCATAGCTGGGAATACAGGCATGCATCACCATACCCAGCTAATTTTTTTTTGTATTCTTTGTAGAGATGGAGTCTCACTATGTTGTCCAGGTTGGTCTTGAACTCCTGTCCTCAAGCAGTCCTCCTACCTCAGCTACCAAAAGTGCTGGAATTAAAGGCATGAGCCACCACACCCGGCTACCCTATGACATTTTAAAAATTAAAGTGAAATTTTAAAATAAATTGATTTTATTATGTTTTCATAAAAACCTTTTGGAATAACTGGAGAAAGGGCCACATGAAAAAACCAGTCCTGGGATCACTGTTATTTGTACTAGAATGCTCCCCATCACTGCAATCACTAGCATTTGATGAAGCCCATCCCACCCTGGGGAACAGCCCACATCTCTAAGTATTTATTCAATGACATCAGGAAGCTTGCTTAAATATGGGTTGGGATGTGGGGACAAGGCAGAGGATCCTATCTTATCCTGGGATCAACAGTCATCCTTCTGCCTTTCTCTTTCCTGTATTTTGCTTAGCTTGAAACCTCAAATTTTGCCTGTAGCTTCAAGTTCTGATATTTATTTATTTATTTATTTGTTTAGTAGGCGTCTCATTCTGTCACCCAGGCTAGAGTGCAGTGGCACGCTCACAGCCACCACAGCCTCGACCTGCTGGGCTCAGGTTATCCTTCTGCCTCAGCCTTTCAAGTAACTGAAACCATAGGCATGTACCACCATACCCGGCTAATTTTTTGATTTAGTGTAGAGATGAGGGCTCACTAATTTGCCCAGGATGGTCTCGAACCTCTGGACCCAGGCAATCCTCTTGCCTCTGTCTCCCAAAATGCTGGAATTACAGGCATGAGGCACCACGTCTAGCAAATTCTGATTTTTGAGTAAGGAGGACTCACTGACACCCACAAAGATTACAGTTAGGCAGCAAAATGGTGTCATTGAGTTGCCAGTCACTACCAGTAGAATGCCAGACTGGATTCCATTCAAGCCCAATTGGGTTACTGCTTGTCCACTATGTTCTTGACTCTTTATGTAGGGCCCAATCATATATAAACAACCCTGCCCCAGCCTACAAAACCAAGCTGCTAATAATAATAGTGGTTCAGGGTCCTCATCACCTCTATCCACCAACTTCCCCTTTTTGCTTCTGTTTATTTCCATCTGCCTAGGCCTCCCATGCGCGGCCATCTTCAAGTTCCTTGAAGCCTGACAGGAAGCACTCCAGTTTGGCACTCCATAGATGTTCTCAGCATCCCTTTAACAATGAGCTAAACCATACTTAAGGGACACCTCAAGTGTTTCTCAAACTACAGTGATGTACGGACTCCTTTTTAAAGGAAAAAAAATTCTCAAAAGAATCTAAGAATGTCTATGAATTTCATTTTAAGGCATATTAAATAAGGTCTCCCATGGGGCTGAAAATAACTGAAATCTTGATGAGTAGTTCTAGGAACACCTAAGTTTATGAAAAAACTGATTTATTAGGTTAATACTTAGCAAGCAGTATACAATTTGGACAGATGAATTCAAAACAAATGAATTTTTTTTTCCTTTAATGCTTGTTGTGGACACTTGCAGGCCCAGCATCCTTACATCAAGTTTTAGTAATACATTCAAGATTCATTCCCAAATTCATTTACATCGATACTAATGCTCTTCCTTGGAGAGTTTTGATAGTAGTTATATAGTTTTATTAATGTTCTTAGAAATCTATGAGTTACTTTAAGAAGAGAATGCCAATACTCCAGGTATTTTCATTCATTTCCCTCTAAACTCTAGCCAGCATTCAAGGCCAACCTCTCATCTTAGATCTTTACCAATTCTATTAACATTGTGCTATCCTGGTTCTAAACTACTACAGTATATTATATGTATTCCTTAATCACATGCAATCATGTGCCCCAAAACACAACTTAACAAATACTATGATATACAAACAGAATACAACAGAATAGATAAGTAGGATGTGGACATAAGAGGGTATAGCAGTTGGGAAGGAACTCTAGTATTATTAAAATGTCTAAAGGTAATGGTGGTAAAAAAACATAATTTAATGCAAGAAGCCCAAGAGGAAATTAAAATACAGGAAGGACAAAAGTAGGGATACAGTTGGGGTCAGCAGAAGAGCATGGGAAGTAATAGACATTATTTCAGTTAATCCTCCCAACAATTTTACAAACTTCATTGTTGTCAGATAACATCCTGGAGGGCACATGGGTAATAAATGAAGGAATCTGATCTAATCCACAGCCACCAGGTTTTATGCTTCCAAAGTAAAACTGAATTGCAAAAGTCATAGGGAATAAGGCAAAAGACAGAAGTCAAATCAGACCAATGGCAAGGGTGAGATGCTATTGAACCAGTGGACAAGGTTCTTTAAATTCCCCTTGACTAGAAATAGAGCTGGTTATGAAGTGACAAGAAGAGGGCACTCACACAGTAAAGGCTGTGCCTAGTAGATATTCATTTATTAATATTTATTGGACTATACTTTGATCTCTCAATGGCTTTGTAAGTTTGTGGTAAAATATATATAACATAAATTTATAACCATTTTTAAGTGTACAATTTAGTGGCACTTAAGTACACTCACGATGTTGTGCAACCATTACCACTACCTTGCAGTTTCTCTTAAATACTATTTTCTAGTCTTCACTGAGCTTAGCACACTGCTATGCACATAGAAAGTGCTCCTTAAATACATGGCGAAATTTCCTGGATACTATCATGCCCATGTGATGATAATGAGAGGATGTGGTCACTTTGGTTATGTTCCCAGGTCATTCTGTGCCTAAATGGAGCTACTGTGAGTCCTTGGCCATGTGGTCATGAGAACTTAGTCACCCTGGGACTAATCAAGGGTTCTCCTTTGAGCTTTTGCCTAATAGCATTCTGTCTTATGCCCTTACACAGATTATTATAAATAGGATATTTGTATAGAGATATGGCTATAGCCAGAGTTTTCCTACACAAATCTTCCACAGATTATGGATTATGAGCTACTTATGTAAAATAATCAAACATATAACTATCCGATGGCCACAAACCCTTAATTTTCCTTTCATGTGTCTAACCTACTAGAAGGGAATTGTATTCATCTTAAATGAGAAGAACTCTATGCATGTTTAATTTGTTTTTTTAAACCAACTTTATTAAGATATAATTTACATACTTTAAGACAATGTGTATAGATCAATGACTTTTGGCAAATGTATAGATTTGTATAACCAAACATGTATAGATTTTACAAAGTGCATTAGATTCAGAGATTATTAATTACAATAAATTAATAAATCTTGATTCTAAAGCAACAGATATTTTGGGATTCTTGTTCTATCATTTCCTTCTATATGCAAACATATTAATAGACTGTACAGATACCTAGTCCAAAGACTTTAAACATTTTGCTTCTTCTGATTTAGAGGCATCAAAAAACAATTCAAACAATTTACTGTATTCAATTTTAGGTATTACATTCCAAGAAAATATCCACAAACTAGAACATAAGCAGAGTAAAAGGACAGTACTGAAAAACCTAGAAATGATATTGCAGAAGGAATATAAAAGAAGCAAGGGTTCTTAAGAGAAGAAAATATGGTGGCATGGGGTAGAGTGATCAAAGATGATACTGTTTTCAAAATCTTGAAAAAATTTTATATGGAAAAACCACAAAACATATTCAGTATGTAGCTCCAGAGGGCAAAAGTACCAAAGAGAAGTTACCATAGGCCAGACTTTACATAAGGAAGGGCTTCTAAAAGTTGGAGCCTCCAAATGGAACGGTTGAAGTGCCAAGTGTCCCTTCTCTGTCATCATTCAAAAGAGGCTTGAGAGGCCATTTATTTCAGAAGTTGGGGCAAGAGTAGAGAGATTATATTAGTTGGCATATTAAGTCCCTTCTATTCCAATTCTGTGATTGTGTGATCTAGGAACTCCTAATTTAAAACCAGATCTCAGCCGGGCTCAGTGGCTCAGCCTGTAATCCCGCGCCTTGGGAGGCTGAGGTGAGTGGATTGCCTGAGCCCACGGGTTCGAGACCCGCCTGGGCAACTTGGTGAGACCTCATCTCTACAATACATCAAAAATTAGCCGGGCATGGTAATGCACACCTGTAGTTCCAGCTACTTGGAAGGCTGAGGTGGAAGGATCGCTGGAGCCCAGCAGGTCGAGGCTGCAGTGGCCAGGAGCGGCCACTGCACTCCAGTCTGGGTGACAGAGTGAGACTCCAAGTCAAAAAAATTAAAAATTAAAAAAAAAACAAAAAAAACCAGATATCAAGGAAACCATAACTCAAAGATGGACAATCCCAAAATCATGGTTAGAACAAGAACAAAGAACTAAACCTAGAAAGAAGTGTCAGCAAAAAAGGGTTTCGGCCTGTGTGGACTTACATAGATAAATATATACATATATGCATACCCATATACTCTACCTTCCCACAATTCCTGGGAAGGACAAATAAGAACAATTTATAAAAATAATGACAGAAGATTTATTCTCGCTTTCCCACAAATCTACTTTGTGTTCCTAATCTACGTTAACAGTGCCATTAGTACTCAATTATGCAGAATCAAACATAACGTTCTTTGTCCTTGACTCCATTTCCTCTAATTTCTGCCACGTCGATCCCAGAAATACCTCCTAGTTTTATATTGGAATTGCCACTGCTCCAGGTTAAACTCTTAAGATTGATTCCTAACTAGTCATCCTTCCCATGACCTTCTACTCTCTTAGGTCACTATTCACATGGCCAACAGTGATCCTTCTGAAGCACAGACTGGATTACAAGACTCTAACCTGCTCAAAAATCTATACTGGCTCCTTAATGCCTACAAAATAAAGTTCAGATTCTGTAGTATGGCATTCAAAACTCTCATAATCTGGCCCTTACCCTCCTTGCTTGCCCATGGTACCTCATGCTTTGTTTGTACTACAGTACTTGTGTTTCTGGAACAGGGTATCTACTGCTCTACTTCATGTCTTCGTTCAGCTTCTCAAATGTCCCTCATAACTCCCTCCTGTGGACATTTACTCATTTCTCAAGGCTCACGCGAATGCCACGTACCTGTGTAAAACTATCTTTAATGCTTCCACCTCACAAGCCCTGCCTCTATCCTTGAAATTAAATGTTTCTCCTTGAAGCTGACAATACTTCTCTTCATACTTATTTTTGCATTTAGATAGGCATCATGCTTGAAAGCTCAATTTTTGGGGTCCAGGCCTAGCTTCACCCACTGTATCCCCAAAGGTAGAGAGCAGTCTTCACTTATTTCTATATCTGACCTGGTCACACTCCCAACATCAAGCATCTAACACAGTGCCTTTATATGGCAAGTAGTTAATACATGTTTATTGAATTAATCTGGAATTTGAGAACAGTTAGATTTCTACCTAAGGCTCAATAACAGTCTTAAAAATCATAATTTCTATTAAAATTCTAATCAAAAGCCTCTAGTGGTTGATAAAAACTTCTCATTCTAATAGTCTAACAATTTTGAGCCAAAAAATTATATACTTACATTCACTAGAAGAGAGAAATCAGTGACCAATTGGCTAAGTTCAATTAAGTCCTTTAAAAGAGAGAGAGAGGAAGTTATTTACTTTTATGCCTTACAGTTACCAAAAAGAAAATAATTTTTAACATACCGCTTCTAAGGTTTCCCACGATTCTGCAGCATTTTGATCTCGAGGAATTTCAGGCAATGCATATATCTGAGTTAAACTCTGAGAACTAGCTTCAGCTTCAGTAGTAGCATGAAATGCTCCTGAATGAACACAGCCCCAAGTTTAGAATTTATTTGCTTTGTTAGAAATGAGATAGCAATTGCATAAAACAACTGTCACATAAAATGCTTACTAATAAAATTCAGGCTAAAAGTAAATAATTATTCTATAAAAATAGAATTATTGATCCATGGGCAGATTTTCCCCAGGCTAGGGAACACATATTTTTTTCTTTACCACAAAGTCATCTAAAAAATGGACAGAAATACTATCTATCCAATCTGAATAACTAGGGCCAGATTTGGGAGAAACACCAATGGATATTCTATTTGGTCAATACTCTATGAAGAGATATGCAGTATAAATAGGTTTAACACTTTTCATTGTTAAATCCTTAAGTTTCTGTCTCTTTTAGTAATAAATATCAGATATAGTAGGTGTTAAGTAGGGAAGTGATGTATTTTTATCAAGGAAAAATCAGTCACTACTAGTAACAGTAAGATTGCCAGCAAACATTCTTACCATGTGTATCTTTTTGTACATATTGTCACTATTTTCCTCCTCAGAGTATCTTCTGACCCCAGCTCCCATTGCTTCTACTTCTTTTCTGAGTTTTAAGAAGTCATCAGCTCACTAAGACTTTCCTCATTAAACACATTGCTATAATGATGAATTCATTTATACTTGAAAATATGCCTTCAAGTCTTCCTTATTTCTTCATACTGATTTTACCAATCATTCATCTGCTGAGCTGACATTTATTAACAGCCTACTATAAGCCAATCAGTGTGGTAGGGTACTGGAGACATGATGGTAAACCATAAAAACAGTTCTGAGGAGGCAACATTGTGTAGTGGTTAGGAGCATGGGTCTAATCTAGTCAGGAAGACCTGGATTAGAATCTTGATTTGCAATTTATTAGCTCTTTGACTTGGGGAGGTATTTCATCTCTTTGACTTATTTTTCTTATTTGCAAAATAAGGTGGTAGTTACTATGACTGCCACAGCTACTGCTGCTACTATTAACAAAGCTTACCGTAAAATGTGTGAAACAAACATGTTAATGGTCAAGTTCAGTCAGTATAGTCTGGTAAGAACTATATTGGTAACTATGGAGTGCTGTGTGAGCACAGAAGATAAGTATTTAATCTAGGCTTGTGGAGGGGAAAGTGGTCAGAGAAGGTTCTGAAACTAGAACCTGAGGATGAGCACTGGAGTGGGGTGGAGTAAGAGATAAAGTTATTCAGGTCAGGGAGAACAGGTGTGCACATGCCTGGGGACTGAAAAATGTTCAAGATAGCTAATGCATAGACTGATGAGAAAAGCAAAGACTGAAGCCAGAAGTCTAAGCTGAGATTATTCATGGCATTGTAAACTATGTTAAAGAGTTTGTCTTTTGCATAAGATCAGTATGTTACTATTAAAAAGAGTTGGAGACCATTGAGAAGTGGCCATAATCAGATTTTGGATTTAGAAAGGAAACCACAGCCATAGTGTATAAAACACACTAAGGATGGAGTTGAAAGGTGAGAAAATTAGAGAGTGAAAACCCAGTAGGAAGGCTTTCCAATATGCCCAGAGCAAAATGATGATCCACTGTAGAACAGTGAGTAGAAATGGAAAGAAATCTCAAGGTCTACTTTGTTCCCTTCACTTCAAGTTCAAAACACCTACCACTTAACATCTTCTGAGCATCTGTTATGCATCATATTAGGTACCAGGGATGAAAAAGTGAGAAATACAGAGAGCCTGCTTGCAAGGAATTTAAATTCTAGAAGAGTCAGACATACAAAAAGACAGTCATAAATCAATGAGAGCATATTCCTATCTATCTAGAAAAATACAGATACATACATGATTCTACAGGCGTTCTAAGCTAGGGGTGTGTGGTATCTGATCCAGTATGATAGGGTATGTGTTTCTGGAAAAGCTTTCTAGAAATGTTGAGGTTACTAGGCAAAGAAGAGAGGACTATAAATTCTAGGTAGAGAAGCCAGCATGAACAAAGGCCCTCAAGAAAGAAACAATAAAGCTAATGTAAAATCAGCAGTTTAATGTTACCAAAGCAAGAAGTAAAAAACAAAGATTTACAAGTATAAGACTTATAAATGGGTAAGAGGGAGCCAAAGACAAGTTAAAGACTTAGGATTGTATATGGCAGAACATGGAGAACTGCTGAAGGGTTCTAAGCAGGGAAGTGACATGATGATGTGACACCTGATCTACTCCTAACAATAAGTCATTATAAGTTCATATTCTCTCACCAGTTCCTTTTTTCAATCAAACCTACAGTCAAATGGTGTTCTATACAACTGCATTACTATTTTACCTACAATTTTTTTTTTTTTTTGAGTTGGAGTTTCATTTTGTTGTCCAGGCTGGAGTGCAGTGGCATAATCATGGCCACCACAGCCTTGATCTGCTGGGCTCAGGAGATCCTTCTGTCTCAGCCTTCCAAGTAGCTGGGACTACAGGTATGTGCCACCATGCCCAGTTAGTTTATTTATTTATTTATTGTAGAGATGAGGTCTTTCCACATTGCCCTGACTGGTCTTGAACTCTTGGACTCAGGCAATCCTCTCTATCTCGGTCTCACAAAGTGCTGGGATTACAGGCATGACCCACTGCACCTGGCCTACCTTCAAATTTTCTGAACACTTTACCTCTCTGGGAAAAACTTGCTTGAATTGTTTAAGAAGTGGTCTAAAAAGTAATTTGTAGGTTTATCAGAACTGACAGCATTATTCTAATTTTGAATCTTACCTGAATATATCCCTTTAACTTAAAGGAAGAGTAGAAACATTATATAGAGAGTAAGTTTTACATTACAACATCATGACAAATATCTACTATTTTGAAAGCTCTGAATGATTTTTACAACTGCTTAAAATAGTTATTTACTTTTTACCCTAGGTTATCACAATAAGGACAATTTCATTTTCACTTCAACTGAGAAAAATGAATTACTCTATGACCTTTCTTTCTTCCACTTAATATTCCTATGTATCTCAACTTCTGCAATATTATGATAAATAACTTTATTATCATTCACAGACCAAACATAAAGCAGAAGTTTATAACCATACCCACTTTAGAGATTTTTTAAAGTCATAAATATGTACTATTAACGAGGATTCAAATTAAGTATGTGAGGAATACAACAAAATGAGGATAGATTACCACATGTAAATTTTTATCTAAAAAGTAAGGGATGGGAAATGTTTGACATTTTAGCAAACATAAAAGATTTCCCTCAGTAAAGAATAAAAAATGTTTAAGTCATTTACGTCTCACTTGAAACCAAACTGCGTATGCATCTTAGTTCAAATAGAGTCTTAGAACAAAGAAGTCTGTTTTCTTCCATAGAAAACTCTGCTGTAAACTAGCGACTCTGAACATCACTAATCAATTCAAGACAAGACTATCAATTAAGAAAGCAAACCTTTTAATTTCTACAACTTCCACAATTCATTTATTCCCGCTTACATGAAAATCACTACCTCTGCGACCATCCTTTTACTTTGAACTTGTATAAAATGCTATGGACATGATGAGGCAAAATATTGAGACATATTATACCTGCAGGAAAGAAGGCTGAAGAACTTTAGTTTGTCCACAGATGTAAAAAATTTACAATGGTTTCATATGACATAATAATCTCAGATAGTCCTACCCACAAACAAACAACTGTCAGCATATTGGGCAAGTAAAATACAATATGTGTCACTCACCACTGTTTTTCAAACTCCAGAATTGGTTTTACAACCTTATTATTGGCTATAAACTCAAATAAACATTAAGAGAGTTGGCTCACTTTAGTCAAAGTGAGAAATAAGCTAAATCATGCAGATATGAAACTTTTCCCTTCTCTTCTATATATTTGCAAATATTTTCTCCCTCTCTCTTTCTCCATATTTCATGAATAGCAATGATTTTACCAAGAATTACAAAACAATATCTAAGAAATTTCCACTAAACTTCACTATATTAGAAAAAGTTTCATTGAAAATCTAAATTCAGAAGCATTCCATTTTTTTAGTTTTGATAGTTTAAAAAACAGTGAAATTAATTTAGTCATCTACATAAATTTATCAAAATAAAATGACTTCTAAGTCATTGTGTAACTTAGTTGCAAATGAAGACTTTTAAGAAAAGTAAAACCAATAGAAAATATATCCAGGTCATATAATACAAACCCATCTACATGTTTCACAAAACTGTTCAGTACATGTATATACCTGTGATAAAAATCTAATGTTTCATCAAATTCAATATGCTGGTCTGAAGTTTCCAGCAGTTTTAAGATTGGATTCTTTTCTTCCATGAATATTTGTTTAAAATGTATTAAGATTCTGTTCCTATTGCGCTGCTGAAGTATGTGTCCTGGGAGTAAAGAAAGACAAAGAGGGAGAGAAGGCCTGATTCGCTCTGTATGACTTGAATCACCTTTCTAAATACAAATCAGATTTGTAGGCTCATCGCTTCTCTTGGTGGGAAGCAATATGCTAAAAATGAAACTAGACACACAAGTGAGACAGAAGGGAGTTTCTCAGATAAAGCAAGATTGGCAGAGATTTGCTTCAGGAACTCTCAGAATCTGGACAAAAGAAACAGCAAAATCATCACAGCTTCCCCTAAACTTAATAAGCTTCTTTCATTCTCTGGAGAACATAAAAAATGTCCTATTCTACTTGTCATTTCTATCTGTAAATGAAAAACTATTTTTGCATTTTTGATCTTACTCATAGAAATGTAGCAACATTGCTCCCGAATCTCTGCTGATGTTTCCAACCAATTTATTTAGAATCAGATTGAATTTGTAAAGTAAAAAGTATCTTAAGTCACTTAACTTCTATGCAATAAAACATCTTTTCCATACAGGTTATTGCTACTAAAATGAATATATGAGGCAAAAATAAGGAAAACCAGAGAGCACAGAATAAAAACATGTGGAATGACAAAAAAAGAGTCTACAACTAGAAGAAGACTACATACAGAGCAAACCCAATTCCTACTGCACTAGTGAAATCTTATGTAAATTAGTTACTTGCTTTGTTTTCTTTATTTTTCTGCTTTCCCATCCAGAATGATTATTTGTTAATACTTCTGGAATTATATATTGTATACTATATATTGTAATTATAAACTGTAGAAGAAACTCTCACACTTGGTGAAATACTCAGGTACTTGGTGAGATAGCAATTTTTTTAACTGCTTTATGTTGGCAATGAATTCACAGTCAAAGCATAATATGACCAGCTGAATAGTCAGATTTTAAAATTCTGTACATTGTTTTAGGTATAACTTAGATATGTGATTTTATAAGTAGAAGGACTATCTCAATCAAATCAGCATTAGTGATTTAATTTTGTAGTCTTCACCCAGGAATTAGTTCTTTAGTCTATTTGGTGTTCCATGAATTGAGAAGTTTGAGAATCAACAGTTGGGTAATGAATTCACCTTCTATTTCTTCTCCCTCATTGTCTGGCTCTGCTCCAATCTTGTTCATTTGCTTCCTCAAATTCTGCCAACCTTTTTTTTTTTTTAACACTAGCCAGCTTCCTAAAGAGAAAGTTAATTGCCAGCAAACTGAGTAAACCATCTTTTTCTAATAATCATCCAATTCCTCTGATGTTATATAAACTCAAATGTGTTGAGCCCAAACAAATCTACTGGTAGAAACACAAACAATGCAATAATAAAATGCAAATTAAAGCAAGTATTAGAGCATTATCATATTGTGGCTGGGCATGGGGGTTGATGCCTATACTCTCAGTGCTTTGGAAGGCCAAGGTGGGAGAACTATTTGAGCTAGGAATTTGAGACAAGCCTGGGCAACATAGTGAGATCCTGACTTTACAAAAATTTTTTTGTCTAAAGAATATTAATGTATTGTGAAAAAATACTCAGAACTCAAAATTTTTGCTTGATAGGGGAATTGCTGGCGATGGGCAATTCAAAGGTAAACAGGGGCTGATGCCAGCTACTCTTCCCAAAAAAATCGAGCTTACCTTTACTATAATTATTGCCATCACAACTATCACAATGTCTGAGTACATGAGATGGCTCCTTAATCACACAGAACTATAAATAAAGTCCAGTTTACCTACATATGCACACAAAGCATTAGTTTGCTCTAAGTGACAAGAATAGCCTTTGACCTCACCAGTATGGTGGTGATAACTATAGATGAATAGAATATGAAAATTGGTAACTACAAACTATCAAAAAGCATTCTTCCTAAATACTCTTCAACCAAGTGTGGAGTGCTAGTATCTCCTCCTCTCCAAAACATTTTAGATACTGATTATCCAAAGAGTAAAGTAATTGCAGCACATCTAAAATTACAAAATTATCTCTAAAAGTATATTTATTTATATTTCTAAAACACTTATGAATAGTTCACTGTTTGTCGAGCATTGTGCTAGGTACTAAAGATTCAACAAAAGCCAGATTATGCAGAAACTCCCCATAGTGGTTTAAATGTTTCTTCCAATATTTTTTTATTTCCCTGTAAATTACTGGATCATTAGTACTGAATATACAAAATTAAAAATAATCCAGCTTTGGAGATAGAAAGTGGTGCAGGATTGCTCTGAGTAAATAAAAAGAGAAAAAACCAAGCAGGTGTAGTATCCCGAAGATTCTGTTCTAATTTGTAATTTATTTATACCCACTTTTTCCATAAGGATTAAAGGCTGCTTAGAATGATTTCTACAATGTGACAAGATGAAATAAATTAAAGATAAAACAGAAACTCTAGATGAAAAAAAGGAAACAATGGTAGCAGTTATTAAATAAAGTTAGGATACTTTAAAAATTGGACTTTTGGTGGTTAAAAAATGTGGCTTTAAGCTTTCTAGTAGACAACTCAAGGAGGAAAACTTTATCAATTACTCCATTCAATACCCATGAGATTAAAAAAGACCAACTACTTTGAAGTATCACTATGTATTAAGTCAATAGTTATTTTCAGGGTTAAAGATATTATTATAATGTGATAGACAATTAACAATTACATCCTTAAAAGATATAATGATAAATTTCACAGGACTGTGTATTTTAGGATATCACATCACAGAAGATAATGGCATGACCTCTGTTGTAGATTTTTTTTATGTTGTCAGTTATTCAGAGAGCTGGGCTGAAAGACAGACCTAACATCCCCTGTGAAAACTGGAATGCTTAAGAAAAAAGCATGCCTGAATAGGTCAAACCTGCACCTGGAAAGGAGTGAAGAGTAATCTGCAGACAAGGATGACATTATCCTTAGGAAATATTTTAACATTTCTTTTCAGTAAATAGACACTTGGATACTTGAAGCCGTGAAGTTTCACTGTACACAGCACAGCCTCAAAATTTTTATTCTGCAAAATATGCAGGGTACACATTTCCAGGCACACTCAGGGCCCAAGGATTCAGCATACTGGGATAGCAAGCAATTCCTGAAGGCTGAGAGATAATCTGTAATATGTACTCAAGGGGGTGAGTTTTAATTAACTGCATTACTATGACCAAGAATAAGAATACATTACCACCAACAGTCATGGATCTGGTCAAAGGAGGCTGTAATAAATTTTCTTCATCATTAAATTGTTTCTTAAGTTCTTCTACAGATTCCAAATGGAGCTGGAGAAATTCTGTTGTTGCTGCTGATGCTTCTTCTTTAACAGGATCTATCATTCTCTTCAGAAGTACTAGGTCACTCTTTTGAACTTTCAAACAAAGCTTCTCCATTTCTCGGATATTGGAGCGGAGTTGCTATAAAAGAAAAAAATCACTAATGACACCATCTCCTAGTATAAACTTTCTTTTCAGAAGTAATTTGTTATAATGGATGTGAATGGAAATGATTACAAACATTCTCTACAATAGCAGGTGTAGCATAATACTTTTCTATTTTTTATGTCTCTGGCTGGCTAAATTCAACATCTGTAGAACCTATATCTTCATACTTCGAGTTATTTAGTATGTTTTCCTTCATTAAGTGTTATTATTACAAAGATAACAAATGTACTTCATAGGAAGTCAAACACTGCAGAAATATATGAAGAAAAAATGATTTTCCCAATTTACCAATCTCACCCCCTCTCTCAACTCAATCTTTCCATACATTTCTCATGGCTCATGCACACATATAACATATATAGGCTTTCTCCTTTTTTTCTTTTAATAAAAAATGAATTACAGTATGCACACTAATCTACAATTTGTCATCCCACACCCCAACGCCATCAACATCCATCATGGTCAATGGTTATACCATATTCCATAGTCAGATGTAGTATAATTTATTTAATTGCTCCTCTGGTGAACAAGTTATTCATGTTGTTTCCAGTTTTAGTTATTACAAACTATGAAACAAATATCCTTACATAAAAATCCTACTATACTATATTAGCGTAAATTAGCATTATAGTATATGCTAATACAGAATTTTTGTAGCAATGATTCCCAGAAGCAGAATATAAAAAGGATAATGTGCATTTTTATTTCAATAGCTATTATCGTTTTTTTCCCAGAAAGCTGTAACAATTTACACTACCACCAAAGTACGAATGCCCATTTTCCCACATACTGCCAGTACTGCATGTTATTTCACTGCTGTTTTGCTCTGCACTTCCCTGAAAATGTTGAATTTTCAGCAGATGATTTTTATCTCTTTAAAAAAAGTCTGTTGGCATAATCATAAATTTTCCTCTAATATATTAATATAATGAATTATGTGCAGATTTCATAGTGTAGAGTCACCTTTATTTTACTTTATTTTTTTGAGTTGGAGTCTCACTCTGTCAAACCAGGCTCACAGCCACCACAGCCGAGACCTGCTGGGCTCAGGTGATCTTTCCACCTCAGCCTTACAAGTAGCTGGAAATACAGGCGTGCACCTCACACTTGGCTAATTTTTTGATTTATTGTAGACGAGGTCTTGCCAAGTTGCCCAGGCTGATCTGAACCCCTGGGTTAAGGCAATCCTCTTGCCTCCACCTCCCAAAGTGCTGGGATTATAGGCATGAGCTACCCAAAGTGCTGGGATTATAGGCAGGGTCACCTTTATATTCCTGGGTTAAACTCTTCCTCGTCAATATATATAATTTTTAAATATACTACTGGGTTCACTTGGCTAGTATTTTATTTGGAATTTTAGCATATATATGTATCATGTGTGTCTGAGTGTGTGTGTGTGTGTGTGTGTGTGTGTGTGTGTATGTGTGTGCATATACAGCATATACAGTGTGTGTCTATACTATCTTTACTAGGCTTAAACTCACTTTAACAGGTTTAAGATTGTGCTAGCTTCATAAAATAAATAGGGAAGTTTGCCCTCTTTTCAATTGTCTATACTTTGAAAACAAAGAAACGAGTTATTCCTTGAAGATTAAATAGAACTAATTTGTAAGAATGATCTAAGTAAGAGGCTTTAAAATGTTATGGATGTCTATTCACATAATATTTTAAATTCTTTTCCCCTGAAGTACTTCACAAATATTAATGCAAGTCCTATAGAAAGACCAAAAGGTATTCATCTTTCTAGTTAATTTCTCAACTGCATACTCTGAGATATTACATTATTACATACAGATAAATCAAAGGACAAAAACTTGTGTAGAATTTACTTAGTTATCTAGTGGCAAAGCTGAGGTTAAAACCCAGGCATTCCTATAAGGCCAGCAATCATTCTGCTAAACTACAATCATAATACCTAACTATATGGTATCTTAATACACTCTAAAGTTCCCATTATATTGCAGTAAAATTAAAGACAATTCTGGAAAAAATAATTTAGTTACAACATAAAGTATCTTGTAAGATTTTCTGGGTAAAAAGTTGTGCTTCTATCTTACCATGACTCTATACTTCCTTTAACCGTATCTTGTCTTCACTATTCCAAATGAGTTAGAAAACATAAACATAATTGGATTATAGATTCAAAATATGTGATATGTAGGTATTAATATGTAAAAACAATAAAATCCTGAGGGGGCCTATGTAATCATCTAATCCAAAGCTCATGACTTTACAGTATGGAAACCAGAGTCCAGAAGAACACAGTAGCAGAATTAGGTCTCAAGTCTCAGAACAGTACCATTTCCAACACACTATCAGACTCCTTCTGACTACAATTGTAAAGTAGTTACATAGTTGCCACATAGCCTACAAAAATATTTTAGTCAATATTATCTTGAAGAAGCATTAAAAATTTTCTGCAGCCAAACTTAATGAGTATTTGTTTGTGACATATTCTTCCTCTCTTATTCAATCTGTATATATGCCTGTGTCTCCAGTCAAATTATAGTATCTAGCCAAGAAATCTATTACTATAAGTGAAAGGAAAAATTTTAAGGATGAGAAAAAAAAGACTATTGAAGTATAAAATCTGATACTGTAGTCATCATCATCATCATAAAAACATAGATAATGGCTAAATTTTTATCAATATTTACTATAAGATACCCATGTGCTAAGTGTTTCACCTCTTTTATCTTGTTTTACCTTTGGAATATAATTTGAAATGGATATTACTATTATTCCCTTTTTTACAGAAGAGAAAGTTAAGGCAAGAAGTTAGGAAAGTAACCCAGAACTACACTGCCATTAAATGGTAAAGTCAGGAATCAAATCCAGGCCATAGATCTTGTGTTCTTTTTATTTTTTTGAGTTGGAGTCTCCCTCCATCACCCAGGCTGGAGTTCAGTAGTATGCTCACGGCCACCCCTGCATCCACCTACTGGGCTCAGGCAATCCTTTTGCCTCAGTCCTCCAAGCAGCTGGAACTACAGGCACGCACTACCACACCAAGCTAATTTTTTGTTTATTGTAGAGATGAGGCTGGTCTTGAACCCACAGCCTCAGGCAATCCATTAGCCTCGGCCTACCAAAGCGCTGGGATTACAGGTTGAGCCACTAAGCTGGACTGATCTTGTGTTCTTAACAACTTTCTTGTATATCAACACCATCCAACAGAAATATAATGTAATCACAAATGCAAGTTACATATGTAATCTTAAATTCTCAAATAGTCACATTAAAAAAGTAAAAAGGTGAAATTAATTTTAATAATATTTTATTTAGCTCAATATATCTAGACTATTTCAGCAAGAAATGAATATATATATATTTCTGGACTTGGAGTCTCACTACGCTGTCCAGGTTGGAGTGCAGTGGCACAATCATGGCTCACTACAGCTTTTACCTTCTGAGTTCAGGTGCTCCTACCATCTCAGCCTCCCAAATAGATGGCACTATGAGTGTGCACCACCACTCTTGGCTAATTTTGATTTTTTTTTTTTGTAGAGACAAGGTCTTGTTATATTGCCTAGGCTGGTCTCGAACTCCTGGGCTCAAGCATTCTTCTCGCCTTGGCCTCTCCAAGTGCTAGGATTAGGTGTGAGCCACTGTGCCTGGCATAATATAAAAATTATTATTATTATTATTATTATTATTGAGTTGGAGTCTCACTCTGTTGCCCAGACTGGAGTGCAGTGGCTGCTCCCAGCCACTGCAGCCTTGACCTGCTGGGCTCCAGTGATCCTTCCGCCTCAGCCTTCCGAGTAGCTGGCACTACAGGCGCACGCTACCATGCCCAGTTAATTTTTTGATTATTGTAAAGATGAGGTCACACCAAGTTGCCCAGGCGGGTCTCGAACCCACGGGCTCAGGCAATCCACTCACCTCAGCCTCCCAAGGCGCGGGATTACAGTCTGAGCCACCGAGCCTGGCATAAAAATTATTAATAAAATATTTTATAATCATTTATTAGTAGTAGACTTAGAAATCTGGTATACATTTTATATTCACAGTACATCTCAATTCAAACTAGCTACATTTTAAGGGCTCAACAGTCATAAGTGGCTAGGAATTACTACATTAGATAGCACAGCTCAGAGAGTCTCTCTAAAATAAAATAGAAGGAACAGGATGGTAAAACCAGATGTGAAGGATATGAAGTAGGTATTTCTGCTTCTGGAAATAAGACTAGGTGATTCAGACTAGCTTTCCCACCAATGACTACTTAAAAAGCAGAACAAAAAGCAAATCACAAAAGAAAACAAACCCTCAAAGCATCAGAAAGCAAACAAGATAGTTAAGTAATTTATAGGACAAGAATTGGGCAAAAAGAGAAATCTAGAGGGGAGAATCTTGAACTTGGGGCCACATCTGCCTTGAGAATATTTGCACATCAGAGTGTATACTTACAAATCTTGGAGTGAAAAATTCAGTGCCAAGGTCTGCTAAGTATAAGGACCCTGGTGCTTTGGGTGGGATATTAAAGAGCTGCACCCTAGAAACAGGTAATCCTGAAATAAATCAGCCTTCTCATGAACCATAGATTGGCTTCCAGTTTTTTGAGTAGCTCATATAAATTTTAAGCTCTAAAACTATATAAAGATAATCTTGGAAAGTCAGGGTTACCATGGGGTTGAGGTGAAAATCATCATTCCTAGCTTCAAAGAATTTATCAGACCAGTCTCGGTGGCTCAACCTGTAATCCCAGCACTTTGGGAGGCCGAGACGAGTGGATTGCCTGAGCCGACGCAACTTGATGAGACGTGTCTCTACAAGAAATCAAGAATTAGCCAGGCGTGGTAGCACGCGCCTGTAGTTCCGGCTACTTGGAAGGCTGAGGTGGAAGGATCGCCGGAGCCCAGCAGGTCGACGCTGGGGTGGTTGTGAGTGTGCCACGACACTCCAGCCTGGGCGACAGAGTGAGACTCCAACTCAAAAACAAACAAACAAACAAACAAATAATTTTCAAATCT